ACTGCACTCCCTGGCCACAGCAGAGAGCTGGCCTGGAAGAGGGGCAACCGGGACAGATTCCGGCGCCCCGACCGGGACTAGAACGTTACTTTTATGCTGATTTAATTGTGTTGATCAATAGGGGACCTGGCGGATTTAGAAGACCTTGCACTCAAGGCTAGCAATTACTTTTAGCCTTCTAAACTTTTTGATCTAGGAGTTAAGAGTGGGATCAGTCTTAGCTTTAGTCCCAGGAGATCAGAATGTTTTAAAAAAGAGGTGTTAAAGAATAATGAACAATATACAAAATTTATAAGGGGACTTACTGTCATAAACCCTTAATAATGAGTTTGCTCCATAAATGAGATAATGATGCAATTTGGGGAGCAACACAGTGCAATTCTAATTTATTGTTATTATTATTGCTATTACTGTGACTTTCAGATCTGTTGTGTACTTTCTGAGTAATACTCTGAAGAAGTAACACTTAGGTAATATAAAATCTTAGAAGTGAATGTGGAGACACTGGGCAATGGGTAACTGTAGTTGTTTATCTTATTTATCACATTGAGAATTTGCTCCCTATGCTTACTTTATTTAGAGATTTTTATCAGCAGTGAATGTTGGACTTTGTCAAATCCTTTTCCCATATTTATTGAGACGGTGGTATAGTTTTTTCTTCTTTAATTGGCTGTTATGGTAAATTACATTGATTTACTTTTCATTGTTAAACCCAAACTTGGATTGGGATACATCCTACTTGGTTATGACATCATGTTTTATGTATTGCTAAATTAGATTTGTGAAAATTGATCAGAGGTTTTTTTGTGTCCATGTTCATGGGGCACACTGGTCTTTAGTTTCCTTTTTTTTAGTAATGTCTTTTTCTGTTTTGGAATCAGGGTTCTATTTTCCTTATAAAATGGCTTTGGACTTGTTTCTCCCTCTTGTATGTTTCGTAGAAGAGTATTTATGGAAATGAATTTTTTTTAAGATTTAGTTTTTTATTTGAAAGAGTTACAGAGAGAAGGAGAGAGAGATCTTTCATCTGCTGGTTCACTCCCCAAATGACTGGAATGACCAGGTTGGGCCAGGCTGAAGCCAGGAGCCAGGGGCTTCTTTGGGTCTCCCACATGGGTGCAGAGACCCAGGGACTTAGGCCATCCTCTGCTGCTTTCCCACCTGCATTAGCAGGGAGCTGGATCAGAAGTGACTAGTTTGGATCAGGCTGAAGCCAGGAGCTTCTCCCTGTTGTATGATTTGCAGAAGAGTATTTATTGAAATCATTTGTTTTTAGATTTAGTTATTTGTTTGAAAGAGTTACAGAGAGAAGGAGAGAGAGAGATCTTTCATCTGCTGGTTCACTCCCCAAATGACCGGAATGACCAGGTTTGGGGTAAAAATGGTGTCAGTACTGAACATGCATAGACTTTTTTTATTGTCATTATTCCCTAAATAACACAGTATAACAAATATCTATGTAACATTTATATTTTGGTAGATACTGTAAGTAATCTAGAGTATACAGGAAGATGTGCATAGATTACAGGCAGATTCTATGCCATTTTATGTAAGGGATTTTATCATCTATAGGTTTTGCATCCTGGAGCCAACCCCCATGGATACAAAGGGACCACTTTTGAAAGTCCTGCAAAAGTCATAGAAATTTAAAAGATAAGTTTATTTTGCTTCAAAAACTTTTGAAAGACTTGCATGCTGTTTTAATAGTATATATTCATTATCCATGATCTTTTTGCAGACCTCTTGTATAAGTACAATAGAAATACCTATGTATTCAGCTGTACTTAGTATTTGTAGATAAAAATATTTGCTGATCTTTTTTTCTTGTAACATGTGTATCGGAGAAATAATGAAATGGAGTGATAGATACAGCCAATTAAAAATTTAAACTCCAATTCTAATCTTGTTTCTGTACTAAGGTAAATATATATATTTTTTATTTGACAGGTAGAGTTATAGACAGTGAGAGAGAGAGAGAGAGACAGAGACAGAGAGAAAGGTCTTCCTTCTGTTGGTTCACCCCCCAAATGGCTGTCATGGCCAGTGCAGTGCTGATCTGAAGCCAGGAGCCAGGTGCTTCTTCCTGGTCTCCTCTGAAGGTGCAGGGGCCCAAGCACTTGGGCCATCCTCCACTGCCCTCCCAGGCCACAGAAGAGAGCTGGACTGGAAGAGGAGCAACCGGGACTAGAACCTGGTGCCCATATGGGATGCCGGGGCCACAGCTGGAGAATTAACAGAGTGAGCCATGGCGCTGGCCCCACTAAGGTGTATAATGAAAAATGTTTAGGGGGCCGACACTGTGGCGTAGCTGGTAAAGCTGCTGCTTGGAGTGTTGGCATCCCATATGGGTGCTGGTTCAAATCCTAGCTGCTCCATTTTCAACGCATCCCTCTGCTACGGCCTAGGGATACAGTAGAAGATGGGCCAAGTCCTTGGGCACCTGCAACCTCATGGGAGGCTGGGAAGAAGCTCCTAGTTCCTGGCTTTGGATCAGTGCAACTCTGGCCATTGCGGTCATCTGGAGAGTGAACCAGCAGATGGAAGACTTATTTGTCTGCCTCTCTTGAGCTCTGCCTTCAAATAAATAAATAAATAAATCTTTTTAAAAATGTTTAATAGCTTTTCAGAAATAACAATTGAAGTATTCATACAGCATAACATTTGCCCTCTAATTAATTAGGTAATTATTTTATTTCAGAGGCAGAGGGTAGACAAACAGCAAGTGAGTTTCAGTCCACACTGCTTTACTCCCAAAATGGCTGTAACAGCTGGGGCTAGGCCAGGCTGAAGCCAGGGGCTGGAAACTGAAACCTGGTCTTCTCTGTGGTACCCACCTACTTCACCCACTGCCTACTGACTCCCAGGGTGGGTATTAGTGGGAAGCTGGAATTGGGAGCAGAGTTGGAACTCAACCCCAGGCACTCCACCTCAGCATTCACCCTTTTAAAGTGTGGACAGTTCTACAAAGTTTGCACAACCGCCATCTGTATCTAATCACAGAACATTTTCATCAGTCCCTTTTAGCAGTCACTCCTCATTCCACTCTCCCCCAGCCTCTTGCAACCACAAACCTACTTCCTGTTTCCATGGATTTCCCTGTTTTGGACATTTCATATAAATAGAATCATACATATGAGGTATTTTATGTCTCCTTTCACTTAGTATCTTCAAGATTCATCCATATTGTAGCATGAAGTAGTACTCATTCTTTTTTGTGACTGATATTCCATTGTGTATTTGCATGCGTGCATACCATATGTTTTTACACATGCATTCACTGGCCCATGGTCGTTTGCATTGCTTTCTGCTGTTTGGCTGCATGTATAGTCGTGCAAGCTTTAGTGTGAGCATGTTTTCAGTTCTGTTAGGAATGTACTTAGGAGTAGAATCACGGAATCATACTGTAATTTGTGTTTAACCTATTGGAAGTGGCCAAAATGTTTTCCAAGATCCAAAACAGCTGTACCATTTTATTTTTACTCTTAGTAGCTCTTTGCATTTGATTTCTTCTTCTGGAAAAAAAAGGAAAGGTTACCTTAGAAATTTTGTGGGTTAGGGAAGTGTGAGGTAAAATAAAAAGAGGATGTTACACAAAAATATTTTTTCCATCTAATTATTTTTTTGTTTGTTTTTGTTTTTCTTTTTAGGATTTTAAAATTTTCTTCTTTTTTTAACTTTTATTTAATGAATATAAATTTCCAAAGTACAGCGTATGGATTACAATGGCTTCCCCCCCATAACTTCCTTCCCACCCACAACCCTCCCCGTTCCCTCTCCCTCCCCCCTTCCATTCACATCAAGATTCATTTTCAATTCTCTTTATATACAGAAGATCAGTTTAGCATATATTAAGTAAAGATTTCCATCTAGTTCTAAATATTACTTGTAACATTATTTCTTAGGAATTCTGTAGATGGACGGCACCACGGCTCACTTGGCTAATCCTCCAACTGCGGCGCCAGTACCGTGGGTTCTAGTCCCGATTGGGGCACTGGTTCTGTACTGGTTGCACCTCTTCCAGTCCAGCTCTCTGCTGTGGCCCGGGAAGGCAGTGGAAGATGGCCCAAGTGCTGGGGCCCTGCACCCGAATGGGAGACCAGGAGGAAGTACCTGGCTCCTAGCTTCGGATCAGCTCAGTGTGCAGGCCGTAGTGTCCATTTGGGGGGTGAACCAACAGAAGGAAGACCTTTCTCTCTGTCTCTCTCTCTCTCACTGCCTAACTCTGCCTATCAAAAAAAAACTACAGAAGCAAATTAGAATAATTAGTAAAAATGCAAAGGACAATGTGGATCTTTTAATATAAATATTACATATTTTACTTTAAAATTGTATTTGAATGACAGAGACGGATGTCTTCCATCTGCTTGTTCACTACCTAAATGCCTGCAATGGCTGGGACCTAGCCTGGCCAAAGTTGGAAATTAGCAATTCCATCTGGGTTTCCCACATGAGTGACAGGAACCCAAGTACTTGAGCAGTCACCTGCTACCTCTCAGGGTGCACTTAGCAGAAAAATGGAGGTGGAACTTGACCAGGCTCTACAGCATGGGATGTGGGAGTCCCAGTCAGCTTTTTTTTTAATTAAAAAAAATTTTTTTGACAGGCAGTGTTAGAGAGAGAGAGAGAGAGAGAGAGAGAGACAAAGGTGTTCCTTCCGCCAGTTCACCCCTCAAATGGCCAACACAGTAGGCACACTGAGCCAATCCAAAGCCAGGAGCCAGGTGCTTCCTCCTGGTCTCCCATTCGGGTGCAGGGCCCAAGCACTTGGGCCATCTTCCACTGCCTTCCCTGGCCACAGCAGAGAGCTGGACTGGAAGAGGGGCAACCAGTACAGAACCAGCGCCCCAACCGGGACTAGAACCCACGGTACCGGCACTGCAGGCGGAGGATTAGTCTAGTGAGCCGCAGCGCCGGCCCCACTCAGCTTTTTAACCACCGCCCCATTGAAAACTTCCATCACCTTGTTATCTTCCTGATCGGACGATCTTGTTTTCTTACAGAGAAGCTCGCAGAGGCTCAGCGCAGGTCTCCACACTTCAGAATGAGCTGCAGTCGTCACTGGAGGCTCAGAACGACACTGCTGGTGTTACTACGCTGCGACAACTAGAAAACCAGTCCTCCCCCTGTCCCGTGAGGAACGTGTCCACCACAGGAGTATAAAGACCTTAAACTGGCCTTCAGCGAGTTCTCCCTCAGTGTTCCTGCTGCAGAACTGTCAGGTAATGAGATTTTACCCAGGTGAATGGCACCTTGCAGTAAATGAGACATCCCTGGAGATGGGATTCACCTGGAACTCTACAAACGAGTCCATTGGAAAAGGATACTCCTTAGCATGTTGTTGTTGGGATTTCAGATGCCCTTATTGGCTAAAAAGCAAGTATCAGAGGCAGTACAACGGTGCTAACAGGACTTCTGTTTTTGAAGATTAATTTTCTAAAAATTTCTGAGTTGGGGTAGCTTTACAGAGCAGCTGTTTGTGTCCTATTTTTAGCAGCAACTCTGATAATGCTGATAGAAAGAAGAAATAATACATATCTACCAAATCATTGCTGGGATGGAAGAACTTTTATGTTCCTTCTAGGCAATGGCAACATTTTTCCAAAAGCAGTTGGATTGTTAAACTTCCTTCAAGGAACATTAATAAATGTTCTGGACTTTTTAATGTGCCACTAAAAGAACTTTATTCTTGACAGGCTGCAATATGGCTGTTTTGTTGTTTGTTTTTTAAAGATCCGGAGAAAGAACAGAAATCAGGATATGGCAAATGTGAGTAAGGACTTAAATCTATCACTTATATCTATCATTCAGTGTTTCTAAAATGGCAGCTTTTCTAAATTACAGAGATATAAGACATTTATTTATTTTTTGTTCCTTGCATCATTCTTGACATAGTTAAATTTATTAGGAATTTAATTGAAAGCTATTTAAATAGGTAAGTGCAACTTCCTTATATTTATAGACGATATACTTTTTTCATTTTATTCTTTTGGTTGTTACTTAGATGAGTGGTTAGGATCATCATAGGATGATATACCACATAGAAAGCTAAATTATGCTATAAAAGCAATACCTGGGATATAAGAATTTCAAAATTAAGAGTAACTAAAGTTTCATATCTGAAATAACTATATAAATTGTTAACACATGTATTTCCATATTCCTCTTTGAAAAATTCAGAGTTTTTTCCTTTGGTCACTTAAGAGTTATCATTCACATACAAACTCAAGGGAAGATAATTTAATAGAAAACTTCACATTATAAAATATATATATATAATACAATGATACATTTCTTTTCTTTGAACTTTGTGTTTTTATCATTTAACAGATTTCATTATTTCATATATACAGTTTAAAGAACATGATGTCTCCCATCCTCTACCATTTTTAATTTAAGCTTTATAATTTAATTTTAATTAATATATATTAATATATATTCCACTTTCCTATAATGCTTTAAAAACATTAACATTTCTTAGTTCATTAGCTCTGTGCTTGTGTGTTACAGAGAAATTCCCTGTAAAATTCAGTATCAATTCATTTTGTATCATTATAAAATACTCCTTGGGAAAGCAAGAATAGTTTTTAACTATAGAAATTGTGTTCTATTCCGAGTTTTTTGGGTTTATTCTGTACACATGTGTTATTCTGTAAGAATGTGTTTCTTTTGAGAATGACAGAAGATTGACTAAAAACTGCCTCCAAGTTATGACACATGCACTCCAAGTAGAGTGAAGTACGAGGGAAAACTATAAAGAAGCAAGCAAGGCCTATTTGCAGTGAGTGCTAATTTTTTTACTGACAGGGATAGTTGATGAGTCATCTTGGGAGACCTCTGGTTTGTAATTTAACTTTGCAAGTACATGACTTCCTACTTTTTTGTAAAGCATGATAGAATTTGATACTGTAAAGAAGTATGGTATATTTTTTAAAGACTTTTTTATTCATTTAAAAGGCAGAGTAATAGAGTGAAGGGGAGAGAGAGATTCCATTCTCTGGATCACTCCCCAAATGACCACAACAGCAAGATCTGGGCTAATCCAAAACTAAGGGTTAGGAGCGTCTTCCAGGTCTCCCAGGTGTAGGGGTCCAAACACTTGGGCTATTTTCCACTTCTTTCCCAGGTGCATGAGCAGGGAGCTGGATCAGAAATGGAGTATCCAGGACTCGACCCAGTGCCCCAGAAGTATGGTATTTTGTGATTGTAGAAACTGAGGGGCCGGAGCCATGGCTCACTTGGCTAATCCTCTGCCTGTGGCGCCAGCACCCTGGGTTCTAGTCCCAGTTTGGGCGCTGGATTCTGTCCCAGTTGCTCCTCTTCCAGTCCAGCTCTCTGCTGTCACCCAGGAAGGCAGTGGAGGATGGCCCGAGGGCCCGAGTACTTAGTTTCACCAAGAATGTCACTTTCCAGAAGTAATATAAATAAATAGTTATGGCTGTTGACATTTGAAGTTTTAAACAAAATAAGGAAATGCTCTAACAATGGATTCTTGCTAAATAGCATTTCTTCCACCAATCGTGCTCTGCTGGCATTCTCTCCCCATATGCTGAGCACACTGCTCTCCTCCAATCAGGAGCAGGATCAGCTCCTGCAGCTTGTTAGTTGACTTGGTGAGGCAGCTGTGTGGAAGTTGTTTATTCCCTCTCAGTGCCATATGGTGGGAGATCAGATGCATAGAATTAGTCCTAGCAGTTCCAGTAATTTAGTCTAGTCTCAGTTGCTCCCCACAATATTTAGTGTGTGATACATGCAAGACCTTTTCTGGAAGTATTCTTTACACAGGAGCATTGCATCTCCCAGTGTACTCAGGTTTTGTCTAGTCAGCTTAGTGCTTATTGCTTTTCATCTTTGGTGATGGTAGATTTTATGGTTGTGTTTTTCATTTCTTCCTGTAGAATCTGAATTTTACAGGATTTTGGAACATCCTTAAAAGGCATGACAAGATCCTGGAAACATCTCATGGAGCAGATTGGTGAGTGGCTCATGTAGAAGTAGCCCCATTTTATACATGCAAGAAAATGAACCAGCTCATCTGTGAAACTGAGGTATAATAATCCCACTTATCAACCATGTATCTGCAATCACATTCATGTCTTATTTTTAAAGAAATACTTCCTCATTCCTATTCTCAAAATAGTTGGTAGCTTTCAATACATATAGTCTTTTTTATTTTTTATTTTTTATTTTTTTATTTTTTTGACAGGCAAAGTGGACAGTGAGAGAGAGAGACAGAGAAAGGTCTTCCTTTGCTGTTGGTTCACCCTCCAATGGCCGGCGCGGCCGGCGTGCTGCAGCCGGCGCACAGCACTGATCCGATGGCAGGAGCCAGGTACTTATCCTGGTCTCCCATGGCGTGCAGGGCCCAAGCACTGGGCCATCCTCCACTGCACTCCCAGGCCACAGCAGAGAGCTGACCTGGAAGAGGGGCAACCAGGACAGAATCCGCCACCCCGACCGGGACTAGAACCTGGTGTGCCAGTGCCGCAAGGCGGAGGATTAGCCTAGTAAGCCGAGGCCCCAGCCATCAATATATATAATCTTTTTAAATTTAATTTTTATTTATTTGAAAGGCAGAGTTACAGAGAGAGAAAGATCTTCCATCTGCTGTTTCACACTCCAAATGGCCACCACAGTTGGGGTTGGGCCAGGAGTTTCCTCAGGGTCTCCCATGTGGGTGCAGAAGTGGAGCAGTAAGGACTCGAACCGGCACCTGTATGGGATGCTAGCACTGCAGGTGACAGCTTAACCTGCTATGCCACCATGCTGGCCCTCAATACAATAGTCTTATGATTTTTTTTCTTTTGCCTTGTCAGTATAAACTCATCAAGAGATTATCACAAAACAATGTATACAAATGTTGCATAATTATTAATGCAAGATTCAAATTTAGTATAACTCATTTCATAAGTTAATAACATCTTTCTAGGCTGTAGTGACCAATGAACTTGAAGTTGGTGACAGACAAAAAGCTATGAAGCATTTACATGTTCCCCCTTTGGGAGCTGCTCAGGTTAATATTGTGTCTAGTGGTTTGTTTGCTTTTGCCTATGTAATAATCAGCACAATCTGTTTAGCTGGTTTCATAACCTTAAAGCAAGAATTTCAGATACATTTTATAAGTAGTTGTTACTGATACTATTATAGTTTTAAAAAATAAAATGCCAGATTTTTGTTCATAATGAATTATAATGTCACCCCAACTTTCTCTTTTTAACCTGCCTGTATTCCCTCTCTTGTTTATTTTTAATGACATACTAGCTTTGGTTTCTCGAAATGATTACTTTTTAAATGATGCAGTGTGTTCATATCTGTTGGATTGCTATATAACATTATCTAAAATCTATCGGTTATACCAAAAAGAAAGACTCTATTAAGACTCTATTAGGTGATATCTTCTGTATCATAAATAAATTCCAATGAATTTACAAGGACTTAAATTGTACATGATATATTCTTTGACTACAGTGGAACTGAAATCAATAACAGAAAGGGCTTCCATAACTTAATAAGAGGCATCTATGAAAAATCTATAATTAATACCATAGTTAATGGTAAAACACTGAATACTTTCTCCCTAAGGCTATGAACCAAAACCGATATTTTCTCTTACCACTTCTGTTCAACATTGTGCTGCTGAGGGTAGCCATCATTGTAAAATAAGAAAAAGAAATAAATGGCATTTAGATTAGAAATGATGAAGTAAAACTTTTGAGATTTTTCTGCCATTGACGGGGATGATCTTTGTAGAAAATCCAGTGAGTCTATGGGTTTATAAGAACTAATAAGAACCAATAAAAGAGCTCAAGATAAGCATTCTACTCATTTGTGTGTTTATACAATAGCAAGAACATTTGGAAACAGAAACAGTGCTATTTATAATACCATCAAAATATGAAATATGTAGGGAAAATTCTGACAAAAGATGTCCAAGACATTCATAGTAAAAACTATGAAATATTGCTGAATTGAATACAACTTGAAGCTTAATTATGACATGATTCTATATTTAGGGGATCCAAAAGACTCCACTGAGTGACTATTGGAACTCATACAAGAGTTTGGTAAAATGGCAGGATATAAAATTAACACACAAAAATAAATAGCCTTTGTGTATACAGACAATGCCATGGCTGAGAAAGAATTTCTAAGATCAATCCCATTCACAATAGCTACAAAACAAATACCGTGAAAAAAATTTTTCTAAGAATGTAAAAGATCTGTACAATGAAAATTACAAAACATTAAAGAACCAACGGAAAAGGAAGACCTTTCTCTGTCTCTCTCACTGTCCACTCTGCCTGTCAAAAAAAATAATAATAATAATCCAGGGGAGAAAAAAGGTAAATAGGAACTTTATCAAGTACATATGGGTAAAAATATTAGCATGTGACAAGATGCTCAATATCATTATATAATAAACCAGTAATGCTATAATACCTATTAGAATAGCTAAAATTTAAAAAGTAATCATAATAAATATTGGAGGAACAAAAGTTCTCGGTTTTCATATGCTGTGATGCAATGTAAAATGGTATAAACACTACACTTTTTATTTTTTTTTTAATTTTATTTATTTACTTGAGAGGCAGAGTTACAGACAGAGAGGGGGGAGACAGAGAAAATGTTCTTCCATCCACTGGTTCACTCCCCAAATGGCCTCAACTGCTGGAGCTGGGCTGATTCAAAGCCAGGAGCTTCCTCTGGGTCTCCCACACGGGTGCAGGGGCCCAAGCATTTGGGCCGTCCTCCACTGCTTTCCCAGGCCATAGCAGAGAGCTGGATCTCCAGGTGAATAGCCGAGACATGAACCAGCACCCATATGGGATGATGGCTGCATGGGTGGAGGCTTAGCCTACTACACCACAGTGTTGGCCCCCCACCACTACACTTTTAACATGATCGTTTATACTCCTAAATATTTACCTAAATGTAAGTGTATGTTCATATAAAGGTGATACATAAACATTCATCGCAACTGTATTTATAAGAAGCTAAAACTGATTAAAAATCCAAATGTCCATTAATATGTGAATGATAAACAATTTATGATATATCCATACAATGATTTAGTACTCAGCAATAAAAGGAATAACTTACTTTTAATGCAGCAAAATGGATGCCTTATGCTGACAGAAGGAATGCAGACCCAAAAAACAACAGTATAATGCTTGTGATTCCACCTACCCAAGTGTCTGGAAAATGCAAACTAATATATTGTGACAAAACATACATCAGAGGTAGAGTAGTATGGTTTGAAGGGAAAGGCTAAGAAGAGGCATGAGGAAATGCTTGGAAGTCATGGGTATGTTCATTGTCTTGATTATGGTGATAGATAAATTGTACCCAGTATGTGTAGTTTCTGTCAGTTTAATCAATAAAGCAGTTTTTTAAATAGGCATGTCATAGTCAAACTTTGTAAATTAAAGAAAAATTTTAAAACAAAAGAAACACAAATTATATCCTTAAAGTATGTATTTATTTTAATTAGTTATATCTGAATAAAACTGCTAGTAACTAATTTTAAAAGATGTAGGTATTTAGGAATGTATGTAGAGGCATTAAGGTAAAGAAAGCATGGAAATTGTTATCTGGTGAGGCGGACAGGTTTTTGGGTCGGGAGCTGTAGAGACTTCAAAGCTAATGGCACATTCTGCTTCTAAAGAAGAGTACTAGGTACTGTGTAGTGCTCTGTTACTATTCATTTCTACCAGTCTGAGTTCACTGGTATACATTTTTTGGTGTATGTGATAAATTTTGCAGTTTTTGAAACTAAAGATAATTTGTTTAAAATAATATGACCATCTTCCTCTGGATGTTTCCAGTCTGATACCTTTTACTGATAAATAATAAGTAAGAAAGATTGAGTCTCAATATTTTTAAAAGATTTTTAGAAAACATTTAAATACCTGAAATTTAGTACCACCTCTAATATCAATAAAACTTTTTATAACATTCATTATAAATATTTGTCCATAAGATTATCTTTCTTCATGTGTGTCATCCCTTTTAATTTTTTAAAGTTTATTTATTTATTTGAAATGCAGAGAGATAGAGAGAGAGAGTTTCTACCTGTTGGTGTTGGTTCACTTTCCATATGGAAAAAATAGCAGGGATTTGGCCATGCAGAAATCAGGAGTCTGGAACCGCATCTGGATCTCCCACATGAATGGCAGAGACCCAGCGACTTGAGCTTTTATCTGCTGCCTCCTCAGATGCAGGTTAACAGGAAACTGCCTGAAGTGGAGGTGGGGCTTTATCCCTAGCACTTCCCCACACAGGGCTTTAACCTGCGGCACCCCAACACCCCAACACCCTTTATGGTTAAAATCTAAGACACTTCATTTTATTTATTAAAAAAAAAGTAGTTTTTAAAATCACTGTCTATGTAAAAAGTTAGATCATAACAGAGAAAAATATTTTTTAAACTTAACGAAATCTGGAAATTCTTATTTTATGACTGATTTTCCAGTCTCTTGATAATATGTACTTTATCTCGAAAGGTTCATTTAAATTACATCAGGAGGCAGGCAGTGGTTATGCTACTGCTTGAGGTGCCCACATCTCATATCAGAGTGCCTTGGCTCAGGTCCTGGCTGTGCTTGGAATTCCAGTATCTTGTTGATGCACATGCTGGGAGGCAGCAGGACACGGCTCATAGTTCAGTCCCTGCCACCCATGTGAGAGACCCTGCATTGCATTCTGGGTTGCTGGATTTGACTTGGCACACCCTTGGCTGTTACAAGCATTTAAAGAATGAACCAGTAGATGACAGAAATCTGTGTTTGTCTGTCTTAGTCTTTCTTTTTCTGTATGCCTTTTGAATATATAAAAATAATAAAGTAATTTAAAAAGTACTACAAAATAAATCCTGACAGAAAATAAGTGTTCTTATTTTTACTATTAACTCTAGTATTCATAGTACAAAGTAGGCAAACTTTGAGTATTAGAAACTCACAAAATTTAGAGATGTATACATTGTAAAAATTAAATTGTCTTTTAAATTTCTCCTCTACAAAAAAATTAGTGTGCATATCATTTTATGTCTAAGATTTTAATCTTATTTTGAGACTCAGGTTTCTCTATAGAGTTCAATTAACTGGCAACTCTATTACAGTTATTATAGGATGATGAAAGATAGATGTGTCTGTGGTTCAGATTTATAGAAATTCAGACCATAAAATAAAATGTTCATGACAGAACTTTGAGGCTCTGTACTACTATTATATTATAACATTTTGACCTATACCCAAAGTGCTGTTGTTCTGTTCACAGCTGGCACCAGCATGGACTACTTTTAGAATTGGTCTATTTTGTGGAATATCCATTGTACTGAATATCACCCTTGTGCTTGCCGGTAAGTAGTTTAAATTTTGCATTATTTTTATATATTAATGTGACTTTGTTATCTTCTGTCCATCCATAATGAATCAAACATGCATCTGTGAAAACTGTCGAAAGGAGTTAGCTTTTGGTTTTTATGAATGATGTGGGCCTTTTTGTTTATTTTTTTTTCCTTCTTTGGATATGGTCATACTTTAAAGCATTGCTAGTGTGTGATGTATTCATCATTTTCCAACTTGTATGTGCTGTTCCAGACTTTTTAGAATTCAGTTACCAAGAACTTCAGCTTCCTTGGTCATAGTTGAGGATAAATAATTTGTGACAAAATTCATTCACTAAAAATCATTGACTTTGCTTATTGGAGACCCTAACATTCTTTTCAGAATATTTCGACAGTTACTTTGCATATAGTTTTAAGAAAGCTTGGTTATGTATTTTGTAGCCTGTGCAAGTTAGAAATCAGAAAGAAGGAGGAAGGATTGCTAGGAGCATTAGTGTTTCCACCATTGAGAAATAATGTAACAGCAAAAGGAAGGCATAATCTTACTTAACTCTGCAAAATTTGACTCTCGGCAGCATTTCACATTGTTGATCACTACGTCTTGAAACACTTTTATCTGTGTTTTTTTTTTTTCTGGGAAATCCATGCTCTGCTGGTTTTCCCCTTAAATTTCACCAGCAGTTCTTTCCCAGGATCCTTTGCTAGCCATACCTTTGATTGTGACATTGAGATGTTGAGGAGTACCAGCAGCCTCAGTCATTGACTTTTCTGTCTGCATTCATTTCCTCCCTAGGCAATCTTATTCAAGCCTATTGCTATAAATACAATCTGCATGCTAATGGCTCCCAAGTAAGTACCCTCTCTCCTCTGAAAGACATTTGATTGTCTACTTAGATGACAGTATAATAGACATCTCAGACTTGGATATACAAAAGAACCCTTGATTTTTACCCCTAAATATGCTTTCTCTTCTATAGGCCACCATGTTTCATCCCATTTCTCAGTCCAAAAACTTCCAGCCTCTCTTTTCCTCGTACTCCATCTCCAGTCCTTCAGCAAATCCTGTCGCTCTGTCTTCAAAATGTGCTCCAAATCTGATCACTTCTCAGCCCCTTTACCAATACCATCTCTGTGCAGCCATTCCTTGTTCAGCATGCCACAGGGGCCTTCTGAACCTCTCTCCCTGCATTCCCTCTTGACTCCTTACGTTGTGGGATAAGGGGCCTCCCAGTGGGGCTTGTTCCAGGCTCTTTCCTCCGCCTGTGAAAGAGTTCAAGGAAGAAGCTTAAAGGTGTACAGAAAAGCAGGATTTATTTAAAGGGCCAGTGCCCGCTCAGACCTGAGTGTGGTGAACCTCTTTTCATGAGAAAGGAAGAACTGCTGCCTTCACCAAAAATGGGCTTGTCCTTTTGTAGAGAAGGGGCAGAGCCCTAATTCAGTGTTCACATGGGGTGGAGTTGGAGGCAGAGCTTGAGTGACACTTGCTTCCATGTTCCTTTTTGGGGGGTCTCAGACGTGTGATGGTGTCTCCATTTGGGGCTTGAGCACATACATGGTCATCTCTAGGGAACACGTCTAGGTATGTGATGGAAAGGAAGGCTCAGGTGCATAATGGAGAGTGGGAGTTGAGGGCCTGAAATCACATTGCATAGGCATGGAAGGAGATGGGGTTCAGAGCAGTCAGGCTGTGGCCCAGATGCTGCTGACAATCTCTCAGCTCCTCTTTGCGTCCTAGCTACCTCCCTGCCCACATCACTGACAGCCACTAGTGAACTCCTTACCATGGCTTACAAGACCCCTCAGGATCTCACCTTCCATCTCCGAGGGAATTCTTACTTCATAGCCCGTCATCCTCCCCCACACTCTCCAACCACACTTGTGTGATGGCTATTCCTTGAATACACCAAATCCATTCTCGTGTAGGACATTGCCTTCCCCAAGATGTGTGCAGGGCTTACTCTCTTACTTTATTCATAAAGGCCTCTATCCAAAGGCTGCCCCTCCAGAAAGACTTTTCCTGATCACCTTGCCCTAAAATAGACTATTCTGCTCCTTTTTGCCTTTTTAGCCTTCATTAGGTTTCTTCAGAGTGCTTATAATCACATAACATTATATTGTGTACCTACATTTCTTGTTATCTATTTTCCCACTGGAATGCCAACATTTTGAATCCCAAGCTCTTGTCTCTCCTGTCCACCATTATACCTCCAGCACCTAGAATCCCTCCTAGACTATAGTAGGGGCTCACAAAATACTCGAGAAGTTTGCATTGTTGGAAGAGAAGGAAAAAGATGAAAAGAAGAGATAGACAGGAAAAGCACAAATGACAAAAGACAGGAGAGTCTCAAATCTTCTTGCAGATAATAACTTGTAAGCACAGATAATCTTTATTTACCTCAAGAGTTTACATAATTATGCTCATAATTATAACTGTAAATCATTAAGGAAAGATTAATATCTGCGTGGTGAGATGTGAAAAGAAATGCGATTTAGAAACAGTTATTACTTTAGATATTTTACTTGAAAGGCAAAGTGGGAAAGGAAGAGAAATATTCCAACTGCTGGGTCAGTCCCCAAATGGCTTCAAAGGTAGCCCTGGCTGAACCCGGGAACCCAGAATTCCATATGGGTCTCCCACATGTGTGGCAGAGGCCCAGACACTTGGGTCATCATCCCTGCTGTCATAGGTGCATTATCAGGAGCTGAATCAGAAGCTTGGTAGCTTAGGGTCAAACCTGTGTTATGGTAGAGGATGCTGGGATCCCAAGCAGTGGCTTCACCCACTGTGCCACAATGCTAGCCCCAGACTGCAAAGAACTGCGGTTTATAAATAGATGGTACCATATAATATTCACTATATTTTGTTTTGGGCTTTTAGTGATCATAGTAATGCACAAACAGAGGCAGCTTTTATCATTGACATGCTTATTCTCTATTGCAGGGATGATGAGTTTTCATTTTTTTATTTCCATTCTCTAACATAGTGCAAAGCATATAGCAGATGTCTGAGAAATAAGTTACTGAACTCATTATTCCTCATAAATATTTTTCTTAAGACTGTAACTTGTGCATTATGAAATTATAACTCAGGTTGTTATGGCTTTTAGAGAACATATGAATTTTACATAGCTAACTATGTTTTTGTATTTTCCTTCCCACCAGTTACTAAAAACCAACTTTATTGTTGTCCACCCTAACTTCATGGTTCCTACTGATAGGATACATGATCATATTTTAAACATACTCCTATTTATTTAGGGTGAATACATTTTACTTATATAGCATACATGGAAATTCTCCAATAAGAAATCTTTGACCTAGATTATCTAGCCAGTTGTTGTGGGAAAAAACAGGTCTTTCTTGGTTTTAGTCCCAGCTCTAGCAGTTTTAGCTTTAAGGACAAAACTTACCTTCTCTGAAACAGTTTCCTCATCTGCTAAATGAACTTAATGAACTTAAATATCCTTTTTTCTTAAGATGTATGTATTTGAAAGTCAGAGTTACACAAAGAGAGAAAGAGAGACAGAAAGAGAGAGAGAGAGAGAGAGAGAGAGAGGTCTTCCATCTGCTGGTTCACTCCCCAATGGGCCACAATGGCTGGAGCTGTGCCAATCTGAAGCCAGGAGCCAGGATTTCTTCTGGGTCTCCCATGTGGGTGTAGGGGCCCAAGGACTTGGGCCATCTTCTGCTTTCCCGGGTCACAGCAGAGAGCTGTATCAGAAGTGGAGCAGCCAGGACTTGAACTGGCGCCCATATGGGATGCCGGCACTGCAGGCGGTGGCTTTACCCGCTATGAAACAGCATCAACCCCTAAATATCTTAAATTTTCAGAGTTGCTTTAGAAATCATTGACTGATTCAATAAGCAAGTTTTATGGATCTCATGATTATTCTTGATACTCTTGAATCTTAAGGTAGAAAAGAATCCCTTTCCTTATGAAATTTATAGCCCATAAAGATTAAGGCACATATTAAAATAATAATGATATTGGTAGCTTTGGGATCTGCAAGAGAGAAGGCCCACACTTCCAGGAATGGAGAGTCCCTACCTGCACTTCCGGGAATGAAAAGTCCCTGTCAAGGTCTCTGCAGGTGCCTAAAGGTCTACAATGAGGATCAGATCCGCCTCAACCTTTCACCTTCACACCCTGTATCTACAAAAGGAGTTCTCCCAACCTCTGTTGGGACTGGTGAACCTCGCCTGGAGTGGAATTCCAAAAACTCTTATAAATTAATTGATTCATCTGGCTGGGAAGTTTTGTTATGTGCCGGACACCTTGCAGATATACTGTAAGAAGGTGTTGGGGCCAGCGCTGTGGTTCACTTGGTTAATCCTCTGCCTGTGGCACCAACATCCCATATGGGCACCAGGTTCTAGTCGGCTGCTCCTCTTCCAGTCCAGCTCTCTGCGGTGGCCTGGGAATGCAGTGGAGGATGGCCCAGGTGCTTGGCCACCTGTTCCCACATGGGAGACCAGGAAGAAGCACCTGGCTCCTGGCTTTGGATTGGCATATCACCAGCTGTTATGGCCATTTGGGGAGTGAACCAGTGGAAGGAAGACCTTTCTCTCTGTCTCTCTCTCACCGTCTAACTCTATCTGTCAAATAAAAAATTAAAAAAAGGTTTTTAGTATTCTAAGCAGTTCAGATCTTCTGTATATTAAGATAATCGAAAATGAATCTTGATGTGAATGGAAGGGGAGAGGGAGTGGGAAAGGGGAGGGTTGTGGGTGGGAGGGACGGTATGGGGGGGAAGCCATTGTAATCCATAAGTCGTACTTTGGAAATTTATATGCATTAAATAAAAGTTTAAAAAAAAAGAAAAGAAAACAAACAAAAAAACTGTTCCTCAAAAGTCAAGGCAAAAAAAAAAATATTCTAAGCAGTTCAAAGGAATAAGTGGTTACTTTCAATCGACAGCACCAGAGAAGGGTTTATGGAAGAAATGGCATTTATGTAAGATGTTGATGGAATGAAAGGCATTCTAAGGGAAGGGGACAGAAGAGCTTTAGTTGAACTGGGGTAGGAAGGATGAAGGAGGAGGGAGTAGGTTAATTTTGTGTTAGCATCGTCATCATTAAATAAGATTTAAGAAAAAATAAACATATTTATGTGAATTAATTTAAGAAAACTTGCATACTAGTATTAGGAGTATACATTGTTGCAATTTCTGTGGAAAATGATTTGGTAGTATATGTAAAGGATGTAAACACAGTCACTGGTTTAAAAGATTCAGGGCAAATTGAGACATAGTTTCCTTAGTAAATGTAGACTGCTTTTGTGAAACAGACTGATCTACTTCTTAACATGTGTGGTTTGTGCATTTGGTATTATAATGCATTATATTCTCTCACCTCAGAACCCTTTACTTGATCTTTGCGCGTACTGAGGTTGGGAGTGGATAAATATTGTTAAATCCAACTATCTGTCCTTATTTATCTCCCAGTGAGTGCTCAAAAGATAAATGTTGAGAGTCAGAGAAAACACAGCAGTAGTAATGCATGTATGAGCATGATTTTATTTTCCCAAACATTCACATCAAAGTATGCATAATTGCTGTGGTTTCTCAAGGGGGACATGGCCTGAAATTTAGTAATTTGCCTGAAAACCACATATTCTAGATACTCAGTTTCATGACGATGTACAGTTGCCTGCTTTGACTTTTTTCTTTTTTGGACTTGTTTCCTTGACAGATTCCTAGCAAAATTTAATTTAATACAATTGAAATATATCAAGTTCATTTATTGGTTTGATGATTTACAGTGAATATAATGTGTGAAAATAGGTACTTCCCTATTTAGTATTTAGTAGTAAGAGAATTAATTGTTAGCATCTCTTTGGAGAATAAAGTATTTATATTTACAGTCACTTTGCTTAGGCAATTTTCTTTCTTTCTTCTTCTTTTTCTCTTTTAAGCGTTATTTACTTTTAGAATGGTAGACTTACAGAAAGGAGAGGCAGAAAGAGAGAGAGGTCTTCCATCTGCTGGTTCACTCCCCAAATGGCTGCAATGGCAAGAGCTGGGCCCATCCGAAGCCAGGAGCCAGGAGCTTCTTCTGAGTCTCCCACACAGGTGCAGGGGCCCAACCACTTGGGCCATGTTCTGTGGATTTCCTAGCCACATTATAATGCAGGGAGCTGGACTGGAAGTGGAGCAGCCTGGACAGAAACGAGCAGCCATATGGGATGCTGGCACTGCAGGCAGTGACTTTACCCACTGTGCCACAGCACAGGCCCCAGGCAATTTTATTTTTACAGTAACTACAATACTTGTACATTGGTGTAAAATATGTATGCAAGGAGAGTACTCACTGGCATTTTATTTATAATAGCAAAAACTTAAAAACCACTCAAATATGCACCAGCTTGAATGTGTAGGTAAATTATATTATCCCTATACAATGGAATAGCAAGGACATATTAACATGAGTGGTGTAGTGGTGTGAATAAAGACGGGCACAGTGCTTTGGAGAACTATTTAGCATATTTACCCAAACTGAACATATACTAACCTATGGCCCAGCTCTTATAGAGATGCTTATATACAATTTCCACCAAAACACATGTGTGACAATGCTGAAATTACAGTACTGTTTGTAATTGTTCCCTATCTGGAAACAACCCAGATGTTCATCAGTATTAGAGCTAACCAGTACTAGTAAATTTTAATGTACTTGTACCTAGTGAAAAGAGCTTAGAGTTGTGAGAATGAAAACCACATCCAAGAACATAAATGAATCTCACAAGTATGTAACAGAAGGCAGCAGACACAGAGTCTTTATTACATGGTTCTATTTATGTAGAGTTCAAACAACAGGTAAAAATTTATGTTAGAGATTAGGATATGCATACCCTGGAGGATGGGTAACAACTGGAAGGGGGGTACGTGGGGGAGTTTCTTGGATGCTGCTACTATTTTTGTTCTGTGTACTAATTCACTTTATCATTTTCATCATACTATATACTTATGATTTATCTGCTTTCTATATGTGTATACCACCTAGAAGTTTATATTAGAGGTGTGTGTTGTGCCACAGTGGATTAAGCTGCTGCTTGGAATGCTTGCAACCCATAATAGTGCCTGGTTCAAGTACTACCTACTCTGCTTCTCTAGCATCCGGCTAATACACGTGGGAAGCATCAGATGATGGCCTAAGTACTTGATTCCCTGCTACACACATAGAAAACCAGGTGGAGTTTCTTGGCTCCTATCGTCAGCCTAGCCCAGCCCTGGCTGAAGTGGGCAAAAAAGAAAAAGGCTACATTTGAAAATGTTGGAACTTTCTCTGCTTTTTAATTCTATTATTATTATCAGACACTTGATCTTATTTAAATGATCCCTTTAACACTTAATCCTATCTATTTGATCACTTTCACACTTAAGATGGCATTTTTACCACCCAGCTTAATGAGATTTGGAGTCCCATGGCAAGTTTTTAAACTGTGCCCTTAGAACTAAGTCCATAGGAATGTATGCAGAACTATACAGCTTTACAGTTAAAAACTTCTTCCTCCCTCTCTTATTACACTCTTATTTTTTACTGAGATCTGTTTTCAGTTGACTTTATACACAAATGATTAGCTCTATGTTAAGTAAAGAGTTCAACGAATAGAATGAGAAAAGGGAAAAAAAACTATTCCTTGACAGTCAAGACAAGGGTTGTTCAAGTCATTGCTTCTCAAAGTGTCAGTTTCACTTCTACAGATTACGTTTTAGGTGCTCTATTAGTTACCACAGATCAAAAAGAATATATGGTATTTGTCCCTCTGAGACTGGCTTATTTCACTAAGTATGATTTTTCCAGATTTCTCCATTTTATTGCAAATGACCTTATTTCATTTGTTTTAACCGCTGTATAATATTCCATAGAGTACATATCCCATAATTTCTTTATCCAGTCTTCAGTTGATGGGCATTTTGGTTGATTCCATGTCTTAGCTATTGTTAATTGGGCTGCAGTAAACATGGGGGCACAGATAGCCCTTTCGTATGCTGATTTCATATCCCTTGTGTAAATTCCCAGGAATGGAATGGCTGGGTCATAGGGTAGGTCTGTATTCAGATTGCTGAGGTATCTCCAAACTGATCTCCATAGTGGTTTTACCAGTTAACATTCCCAGCAACAGTGGGTTAGGGTACCTTTTTCCCACATTCTCACCAGCATTTGTTATTTGTTGATTTCTGTGTGAAAACCATTGTAACTGGGGTGAGGTGAAACCTCATTGTGGTTTTGATTTGCATCTCCCTGATGGCTGATGATCCTAAACATTTTTTCATGTGTCTTTTGGCCATTTGGTTTTCCTCTTTTGAAAACTATCTATTTAAGTCCTTGGCCCATTTCTTAACTGGGTTTCTTGTTTTGTTGTTGTGGAGTTTCATGATCCCTTTATATATTCAGGGAAAGCAGGGGAAGATGGCCCAAGTCCCTAGGTCCCTGCTACCCACGTGGGAGACCTGGAAGAAGCTCCTGGTGTCAGCCTAGCCCAGCCCAGTTGCTGCGTTCATTTGGGGAGTGCATCAGTGGACGGATGATCTCTTCTCTCTCTTTCTCTCTCTCTCCCCCCTCTCTCTCCTTTCTCTCCTTCTCTCTCTTTCACCAAATGTAACTTTGACTTTCAAATAAATAAATCTTTAAAAAAAGACTCGATTCATGGTATAGCATGTGACAGTGCTCATTTCTTTTATGGCTAATATTCCATTTTAGGTACATATCACAATGTTTGTATTTGTGAATTCATTGATAGACATTTGGATTGCTTCTCCTTTTTGACTTCCACGAATGGTGCTGCTGACATGGATTTGAGTGCCTATTTAACTTCTTGGGAAACTGACAAGCTAGAGGCTGCAGTATTTTCCATTTCTACCAGAAATCTGTGAGGGTTCTATTTTCTGCATATTCTCTTCAAGACTTGTTATTTTTTGAGTTTTTTTTAATCCATCCAAGTGATTATAAGGTAACATCTTGTTTGAATTAGCATTACTCTATTGACTGATCATATTAATCATCTTTATACTTACTTGTTGGTCATTTGAAAGTTTTTTTGTGGGCAAATATCTATCCAAGTCCTTTGCTTATTTCTAATTAGATTGTTTGTCTTTTTAAATATTTATTTTAATTATTTTAAAAAGTTAGGGAGAGAGGTAAAATCAGAGAGAGAGGTCTTGCATCTGCTGGTTCATTCCCCAGATGACTGCAATGGCCGATCCAAAGCCAGGAACCCCGAGTTTGCTCTGGGTCTCTCATGTGGGTGCAGGGGCCCAAGGACTTGGACCATCTTCTACTGCTTTCCCAGGCCTTAGCATAGAGCTGGATCAGAAGAGGGCAGCCAGGATTAGAACCAGCGCCCATCTGGGATGCCGGCACTTCAGGCCAGGGCGTTAACCCACTGCTCCACAGCTCTGGCCCCTGTCTTTTATTCTTTAAATTTATTTTATTTATTTGAAAGGCAGAGTGATAAGAGAGAGAGGGAGAAAAAGAGGTCTTTCATCTTTTGGTTCACTCCTCAGATGGTTGCAATGGCCAAGCTTGAGACAGGTGAAACCAGGAGCCAGA